ATCGATAGAAAATATTTAGTATATTTAAAAATTTATTGGGAATCATTTTACTATAAAAATGTAAGCAATGTTTAACCTCTGTGCCTGTAAAAAAAAAATGGCGTGTCAAAAAGATGGTTATTCTCTTGACACCACTATTATTGTATACACCCTACGCAAATTTTTATTGTTTTTAGAAAATATTTCTAGAATTTTAATAATACCCAGATCAAATTCAATTTTCTATCATATCATACTTAAACAGGATTGGAGAAACTGTCAATAAAAGATCAGGATATTAGTCTGAATAACTCTTTCATGTGATATGTCCTTTCAGGACGTAGGCAATCATGGCTCTCCACATCTTCCTGTCCCTTGTACCTCTTAATAAGTTGTCTTTTTTGCTAGTCTAGTATTAATTTATTTTTCAGTTTAAACCTTGTGCATTGTAGATGCTTCGTAAACAGCTTGCAGCAATTTTATTTTTGAAAAACATTGAAAAAACCAGTTTTGGTGTTTTCTACAATAACTCTGAACATTTTCTGTTAGTAAAAAAAAAATCAAATTGTAAGTGATACAAAAATGTGCAGAACAATTAGTAATAGTTGTAGAGGCTGTAATTAGTAATTTATCTTACTATCTAGCAGTTAAAAAGAATAGTTATTCCCTGGACACTGCTATTAGTGTATACTCCCTCAGCAAATTTTTTGTTTTAAAAATATATTTTTAGAATTTTTAATAAAGCCCAGATATATGAATCTAGATATATACATTCGCTTTTTTCTATCAGCTAAGTACAGACATGATAAAAAAGCTCCAGAATTCTACCATTGGGAAGCTCAAGAAACTAGTGGATTAAAAGCATTGCACCAAACTTGAGTATCACAATCAAGATGAAGATACTAGTGCAAATGTAAAAGTATGTAACTAATCTCTGTAGTGATTTTCTAAGCGTAGCTTGGATGTGGCACAAGGCTGAAAGTAAGGGACACCCAGTGAGGATCAAACTCACTACTCAGTCGTAATTGCTCTAGCAAGACAAGCTTGCTAACCATTACACCACGTGGAGGTGCCCCACTTTAATCTCTGTAATTATCATGAATGTTTTGTCAAACGATGCAGTAAAATGCTATTTCCTTACAAACTGACTGCTCCATCAATGTGAACAGATTATGTAAACAAATGCCAATCATAGAACAACAAGAGAATTTAAATATGCCACGAGTTTTTAAAGTCCATTTTTTGGGGGAATGAGCAATGTTTTCCTATTTAACCTTAACACCCACAAAAAATGGTATGTCAAAAGGACAATTATTCCCTTGACACTGTTAACACTATATACACTTTAAACTCCCTCGGCAATGTTTATTTACAAGATTATAAAAATATGTGAACCAAGTACAATATTTATTATTTTACATTCTACACGTGTGCATACACACACAAATAAATAAAAGCAACGTAACACCAATAAATAGTGCATAAATTATTTTTTTTTAACTTAGTATAAAAATAACAAAAAATTAGAAAATCAGCAGTCAATTGGTGAAACTTCATGAGTAGTTTCAATGATTACAAAAAGGTTTGTCTACGAAACTGATGCTGAATATAAGATCAACCAGGTAATGTATCAAAGAACTAAATGGAACCTCATAATGTTTAACCTTTGTGCCTGTAAACAAAAACAAAAACAAAAAAATGAAAAAAAAAGAAAGAAAAAAAAAAAGAAAAAAAGTGTGTCAAAAGGATGGTTATTCCCTTGACACCATTATTATTGCATACACTTTTGAATCCCTTGGCAATGTTTATTTAGAAAATTATAAGAATATATGAAATGAATACAACATGTTTATTATTTACCATTTTATAAAGAAATAAATTTGAAATGAAATCTTTTTATTCAAAAATTTATAAAATATTACAAAATTATCAAAATATGTAAACCAACTACAATACATTATTTACCATTTTATAAATAACTATGAAAACAAGTTATTTATTGATAATTTTATAAAAATATGAATGACCTATGTATGTATAGCTGGTCATTCGTATTCATGGATACCCGTCTACTAGGGCAGTTAGCTAATCCCTATTGCAGATGCTTGCTCAGGTGCATTTGTGTTTATTCAATATCCAAAGAGCCCATCTGTGGTTTATACTGCAACTATGCTGAGCAGACCTTAGTTACAGTTTCTGGGAAAGAGCGTGTTATCTAGTGTGATCAACAATTTGAACAAGGCTAGCATGCTCAAGCCCTCAGCCCCGATGACTTGTGACTTCATGCTAGTACAGCTATTGATGGCACCCAATGGTTCAGTCTACCCAATTTCACTCACAAGGCTTGGGTCAACCTGTGGCATGGTTTTCAGGCACTTTTCAAAAGGTGCCACATGCTGGGGTCGACCCCTGTATTCTGATAACATCAGGAACTCGTCTTCCTTACAAATCAATCATGATGAGAATTGAACCTGGGTTTCATGGCCAGGATGCCCAATGACCTACAGAGCAAAACAAATTGAATAAACATAGGATTTTTGGATATTATACAGGACATCCATAAAATCTCTACAATTTAAAAAATAAGTTACAAATGCAATTGATGTGGCACCACAACTAGATGATCTTCGACCCACCATCATTTTCCAGGATAATTATACAGCACCACATTGGGCACTGCATCTTCATGGGTTCCTAAATCAGACATTTCCAGATAGGAGAGATGGCACAATTTCCAGGTCACTTCATTCACCAGATATTACCACTCACCTGGACACCTCTCTTTACTTTCTTTGTCATTCATTATTTTATTCAACTTTTTTTCTTTAATCATTTTTTCTTCCTTTCATTTATTTTACTAACACAAGTTTTTTTTCTTAAGTTTAATCCCAGTTCTTTGCTCTTTTCTTTCGTTTCTTGTTTTGTTAAATATTTAAAAATACACCGTTCTTTTCCCCAATGATTTTGTCTGCCATGTTTTCTTTTCAAGATGCAAAACTGTCAACATCATTTTGATATTTTCGACAATTACTCAGCTTAGTTTGGGAAAACAAGAAACAAGTAACCGGGAAAATTAAAAAAAGCACAAAGATCTTAGCCATGACTTCTCCAATTCGATAATGACTCAAAATTGGCTGAATTTGAAACGGGTCATGAGACTTGACCCCGTGAATCGAGCGCAAACTGAAACTGAAGCAAATTGTTTTCATTTTATCTTTGAGAGATAGTATTAATCCATGACTCTTACTAAATATGGCTGAACAGACATTTGAAAACTCTTTGACCAATAAGGTATAAACTTTTTCAATTCTTAGATAAATCAAAAATAGTGATTCCCCATTATTTGGACCAGAAGAAGGCTGTAGAATAGAATGGTGGAAACTTCATGTGATTGTAAATGGCATTAATAACATGATAAAGAGATTTGATTATTCTTTCTTTAATCTGAAAACCCTTTATCTCTTAATTTAAATTCTCTCTTTACTTCCATTCTGTCATTCATAATTTAATTTTATTCAACATTGCATTCTTTAATCAATTTTTTCTTCCTTTCGTTTATCATACTTTAACAAGTTTTTTTTAAGCTAACAATTTCCACATATTTGTCTGTTTGCTTTTGTAATAATTTCTTTAAAGAAAAGAAAGAAAGAAAGACCGACCAAAGACAGACCGACCGACCGACCAAAGACAGACCGACCGACCGACTGAAGAAAGAAAGACAGTTTGAAAAAAGACCGATTGGAAAGAAAGACAGACCTTTTGACCGACTAAAAATTTAGACCGACTAAAGACAGACAGACCGACCGACCGACACCAAAGAAAAGACAGACCAAAGAAAGACAGACGACCGACCGAAGAAAGACAGACCGACAGACCGACTGACCGACTAAAGACAGACAGACCAAAGACCGACTGACCGACTAAAGACAGACAGACCGACCGAGATTGACTAAAGAAAGACAGACCGACCGACTGACCGACTAAAGAAAGACAGACCGACCGACTGACCGACTAAAGACCGACCAAAAAGACAGACCGACCGACCGACCGACCAAAGAAAGACAGACCGACCAAAGAAAGACAGACCGACCAAAGAAAGACAGACCGACCAAAGAAAGACAGACCGACCAAAGAAAGACAGACCGACCAAAGAAAGACAGACCGACCAAAGAAAGACAGACCGACCGATTAAAGAAAGACAGACCGACCGACCGATTAAAGAAAGACAGACCGACCGACCGATTAAAGAAAGACAGACCGACCGACCGATTAAAGAAAGACAGACCGACCGACCGATTAAAGAAAGACAGACCGATTAAAGAAAGACAGGCAGACAGTTTAAAGAATAAAAGTCATTTTAAAGAAGGAAAGAAAGACAGACCAATTAAAGAAAGACAGAGACTGAGATAAAGAGAGAGAGAGAGACATGCAGAAATAAAGAGAGTCTGAGATAATGAATGAGAGAGATAAAGAGAGAAATATGAAAAGCCTTTGATAGAAACAGATATGAATATTATTAGATATGAACAGATTGACACACACACACGACTTATGTAGAGACTGAGAAAGAGAGATATTAAAAAAAAAAAAATGAAGGTTAAAATTTGAATAATATTATGATTGATAAAAATATTTAAATATGATTTATTTCCAAACATAAAACTGACATTTTTAATATCTTTAAAAAAGTAGTTTTGCTAGCTTCCTTATTGAATGGAAAAAGAAGCTATTATGGCAGAGAATTCTGTAACAATGAATGAAATAAAAAGAGGAGAAAGAAAATAGCCAGATTGAAAAAATGAATACAGACAAACATATTTGGAGAAATGCAATTGAATTTCTACACTGCATCATTTATTAGGAATGAGATAAATGGAAGTGTATTGTTTGTAAATGCATAGCAGGAAATTAATGTGCATTTCTCATTTGTACCATCTAGCTTGCTTGCTTTTTTTTTTATTTTTCTAATGTTCACCTTATACGAGGGCCAAAAAGCCCAAAGCAAAGAAGCTTATAGCCAAATCACACTGAAACACTGGTTCACATATGATCACTGAAGTTAAGCAATGTCGAGCCTGGTCAGTATCTAGATAGGTGACCACTTAAGAATATCAGGTGCTTGGATGTGTGGGTGGGGTAATGGATAATGGCTTTGAATTGATAATCAGAGAGTTGAGTTCCAATTTCAGTTTGCTTCGTTATAGTCACTTATATGCAAATACCTTTGGAAAAGCTATGAATTCTCCCCAAAGCTATGGGTTAATTAGTAAGACTTGTATCACTAAATGTTTATTATCTCAAAATAAAAAAAAATCTTATGATCTAAAAATATTTTATGGCTTTAAACAACTTGCAAAGTGTTGATAAACTGTAAAAAACAAATCAATCAAATTAAATCAATGCATTGAGTTACTGAAGGAGGTTATTCTTTTTGCAGTAATAGGTGCAGTTTCTGAGGATATATGGGAAAGATAAGTTATCTTTAGACTTGAGGTTAAGATTTTCACGGCCAGGAAAGCATCCACTTGGGAGTCAGTTTCACAAAGTAGTGGTTCTTGGAAAGAAGCTGTTCGAGTGGAAATTCCTTTTTTACAAATAGAATGAGGATGGTTTGCCTTAGTGCATGCAGCATGGCAGTTCTTAGCTGTGAGGGTTTTATTAAAATATAAGAAAATTTAAAAAGCTTGAGTTTTTCAAGAGATATCAGTCATTTCAAAATTAGATGATTACCAGAGTTTTAGATGAATAATCTGTAATTTGATTTTCAAATGAGGCATACAATTTGAAGAATTTATACAATGGTGAATGTCTTTCTCTTTTACAGAGTGCCCCATGAAAAGTCAGAAAATTTGGTAAAGTTTATTTAATTGTTGGAATTTTTGTTACCGTTATTTGAAACAAAAGCAAAGGATAGAAATTTAGTAGCTTAAAACGGAACAAAAACAGAAATTTTAGATGTTCAAAGTAAAGAAATCTGGCAAAATTTCTTGGTATTTTTTCAGTCCCCAAGCTGGATGTTCTTTCTTAAAGAAAACAATTCTCTTGCATTGAAAATTTGGTAACTGAAACAACAAATGGTTAATAAATTTATATGTTAATATTTTTTAGTTCATTCATATAGTAAAATATATAGCCTATTTTTTTTCTTTTTTTTATATATATGTTATTTAATTTTTTTTTCATCATATAGTAAATCTAAAATTTCCTTGTTTTGTGGTGGGGGGGAAACTTGTAGAAAATGATTCTGTAAATACACGCATTGCTGAAAAGGGTGGGTTCATTTTTAATTAGCAGGTTGGATAGGGAAAGTCAATATTTGTTAACCGATTAATTAGGGATTGATTGAGTGATTCATTTTTTACAGTTTATCAACCTTTTGCATGTTATTTAAAGCCAGGAAATGTTCTTTTAAATTGTAAGAATTTTTTTTGTTATAATGTATTAGTGATACAAGTCTTACTAATTAATCCATAGCTGGGGGAGAAAAAGATTTATACCTTTCTTGGGGGGTATTTGAGTGTAAGTGAATATACTGAACTCAACTAGAATTGGAACTTGGTTCTGCTATTTTGACCAGAGTCTAGTACAAGAAAATACACTTTATCAACTCAGCTATGTATGTAATTCCTTCATTTTTAGCATCACCTTTTATTTTTTTTTTTTTAAATCATTTCCTCCCAAGCAAATTGGGAATGCCACTAGTACGCAGGGGTTTACAGAGAGTGAAGGTGAGAGAAAAGATTAGGTATAGGAGGGACTGAGGAAAGGATACAAGCTGAATGGGTTCAAGTAGATAGATGGCGATTGATCTTACATTTAAATTTTTGAAGACTGTAGTTATCAAGGAAGCAAGTAAGCAGAAGGGATTTTGACAGATGGGAAGTGTGAGAAAAGAAACTCTTGGAGTAGAATTGGCAGTTGCATTTAACTAATTCAACAGTAAAAAGATGGGACCAAGATGCCAATATAGTAGCATGCTTAAACACACAGTCCAGGGACCAGGGAAAAAAAGCTCATCAGAGCAGTTGCCATGAATATATTTGTAGAAAAGAGAGGGAAGTGACGTCTACATTGGTGAGAAAGAGACTGAAGTTGAGATGCCAGGTCAGGATCGATTACATTGCAGATCCTTGGATTTTTTTCAAGAACCTTGACATGAATAGTGGGAGATGTGTCAACAGTATGCAATGTATGGACAAATGGCAGATTTGTAAATGTACAAGATGGAATGACAAGAAAAACCTTCCAACATGACACAATGAACCAACTTTCCTATCAGTAGATTCAGCTATTGATTTGATGTAGTTGTTCCACTTCAAGTCATTTGAATACGTGAGGCTAAGAAGGTGCAGTGTGTTCTCCATGAGTATAGCATCAGTCATGCTGATGGCAAGCAGGGAAGTTTATGAATGAGAGGAGTTTTGTTTTGGAGGCATTAAAATTTACGAGTCATTTCCTACCCCAATTGGAGGTTCTTTTCAAGAGCAGTGACCAGGTTAGCTTTGACAGCTTTGCTATTGTGACAGGAGGAAATGGTAGTGTCATCAGCATAAATGCCTACTTTGGAAGATCATTGATGAAGATCAGAGACAGTATAGGAACCAGGATAGAGCCTTGGGGGACATCTGTATTAGAGTGAAAGGATCTGAAAGTGACCCCATTCAAAATAACTTTCATTTCACAATTCGATAGGAACAATTGAATTAAATCAAACACACGTCCAGTACTACCGTAGATCTGGAGTTTACATAGAAGATTAGCATGCCAAAGCTTGTCAACCGCCTTCAAGATAGATAAAAACAATATACTCAACCATTTCAAAAATTAATCAGTTTGTCTGACAATTGCAGAGAATGGGAAACCCAGGCTCACAAACTCACATGAATCCAACTCTCTCTCTCTACATACATATATATATATATATATATATATATATATTCATGAATTATTCACACAAAAACAAATGCAAAGGTTAATGATTTAATTGGCAAGAAATCCATCATCGCAAACAATTCAAATAATATACAAAAACCTCCGAATCCGTTATGAATGAAAAGATCCTTGTTTATATAAATTTCTGCCGTATTAGTTCTTATTTTTACTACAAGCTTTCGTCTGTTCCTACAGACATCTTCAGGTATAGAATAGATGTTGTTCTTGTTTTTTCTCTTAGTAATAAGAGGACAACGAAAATATATGTATTGTTGTATCTGAAAATGCTATTGGAAATGAGTAATTGTTTTTGGAGCGTGCAGTAGTATATGTGTGTGTGTGTGTATTCTCTATCTTTTAGGGTTTTGTAATCTTCTTTGGCTTTGTTGAACAGTTTCATTGAAAGATTTGTCAGATAACCTGCAGTTAATTGATTGTGGGATCTCCTTGATTATTGTTGGTAGGTGGTTGAAAGATATGAGTATATAAAGTGATTTAAAGGTTAGGTTTTTTTCTATGGCTTATACGTACGTTTTTGTAGGATTGAGTGTGACTTCTTTTAGGTTTGTTTTTATGTCCTTTACTCTGAAGCTTATTTTATGCACACATCTAAAAGCTATTATTATTATTAGATATCCACTCCAACTCTTAGATAAAGACATTCTATGATGCCACCCTTTTGTCATTTTTCAGTTTGTTGACAGCAACAAAATAAGATGGTTTCTTTCTTCCAGTCCGAGGTTAAATCTTCCTCCCCCAGTAGCTTACAAGCACATGGTGGCATTTCTCTTTGGGACATTGAAGAAGCTAGCCCATTTAAATCTGGAGTCCTAAAAATGGTTTCTCCAGGTCAGGAATATCTCCAAATTATATGCAAGACCTCTCATTTTTGTTCCTCCTTATACTTTGTTATGTAGATATATGCGATATGTGGGATGTTTATATAGTTTGTGTATGTCATAGTATATAAAATTCTCTTTGAGAACAAAGCATGTTTATCATTCTTTTTCCTTTCAGCCATCCTGCTGCCTCCTGTCTATGTGCTATGGTGTTGTTCTATCATGGATATAATAATGCCCATAATGGTAGAAGTGTAATTGAGAGAATAAATCTTTCTTCCAAGCACCCCTATTACATCACTTTTACCTTGGATATTTGAATCTTTACATAATGCCATCAGTGTTTTTTGTTAGTTACCACTAGAAATTGCTATATTATACAACTTATACTTCAGTTTGGTAAATTAAATTTATTCAATTTTTTTTAATCATTTCACCCCAAGCAAGGTGATAATGCCACTAAGATGCAAGAGGTTACTGAGAATGGAAGAGAACGAGAAGATTTTAATGAAGAGAAAGAATAATAAAAGAACAGAATTCAAGATGGCAGAAGATAGATTCAGGTGAGAAAATAAATTATTAGGTTAGAACTTAAAATTACATCTAGCTATTTCAACAATAAAAGATGAGGTCTAGTTACCAATCTAGTAGTATGCTTAAATTCACATGTGCAAGGTATCAAGGAGGAGAGCTTATAAAAATTGCGATGAAAAGTAAATTTATAGAAAAGACAGGGAAGTCATATCACAGCAGTGTGAAAATACTTGAAGCTGAGATGCCAGGTCAAGGCTGATAACATTACAGACCCTTCTTTGGATTTTGTCAAAAGACCTGCTACTTTAGATATGTGAAGCCCTATATAAATGTTTTTGTTAGTAATAAACAGAAATGGTTACATAAGACTACTTATTCTTTATTTTGGTAAATGAAATTTATTGATATATTCACTGCTACTTTGAATATTTCTACCCATATATAACACTATATTTTTTGTTAGTTAATATTAAAAATTGTTATACAAGAAGATTTAGTATTTTTTTCTAAATAAAATAAAATTTATTACACTATAAAGAATGACCGTAATATGAAAGTTGGTTCCCCGTGTTGCACCAGAAGGTTTTTCTCACCTGAGACCATCTTTCAAATCTACAAATCAACCATTCGTCCTTGCATTGAATACACTTGCCACATATGGTCTGGTCCTTCTGCTGTTCATCTTGAGGTCCTAGACAAAATCCAGAGCGGATATGCAACGTGGTTGGTCCTAATCTGGCATATCGTCTACAATCACTTTTTCACAGACATGATGTGGCTTCCCTCTGTCTTTTCTACAAATATTTTCATGGCAA